ATATATATNTGGTATATATATATAATATATATATTATATATATATACATATACATATATAAATATATAGATATATATATATATACTTGCGGAACTTGAAATCTTGAATAACAATACTAGTCCACGTGTTGGGTCAAAATTTGCTCTTAAGAGACATAGTGTCTGACATTAACTGCTCGATAGTGTACGTCACTTCAAGTTCTGATATTTGTTAGCTAAAGGGACAGAGTTGACAGCTGTATAGAGATTTTCGATTGTTATGGATACATGCACCTGACAAACCTTGTCTGAACCTCGCTTGTACACCATCAACACGTGCAATTGGCGGTCGATCTTGAGCAAGAGACTCTTAACGGAGTTTTGCTTGTCTTGGAGAACTTTCATCTCGATCCCGGTGCCACTGGTGACTATGGCCAGTGCATCTTGTAGAGACGGCATATTGCTACAGGATTGAACCAGTCAAGAAGCATCGTGGATTTTGTATGATACATGTGCTAAGCAACGTGGATTGTGTATGATATATGTGCTAAGCATTGTGGATTGTGTATGATACATGTGCTAAGCAACGTGGATTATGTTTGATATATGTGCTAAGCATCGTGGACTGTGTATGATACATGTGCTAAGCATGATACATGGCTAAGCATCGTGGATTGTGTATGATACATATGCTAAGCGTCGTGGATTGTGTCTGATACATGTGCTAAGCATCGTGAATTGCGTATGATACATATACTAAGCGTCGTGGATTGTGTCTGATACATGTGCTAAGCATCGTGAATTGCGTATGATACATGTGTTTGCGTATACCCACGAGAAATTCACCTGTGAATAAGAGGCCGCAACTAATTGAACTCGACATACCCTTTTCCAAGAAGCATTCGTAGGTCACTGACAGGTTCCACATGCGTAGTGTCAGCTGCCGACAGTTGTTTGAGCGAGGCATTCGAGCTCCCAATAACCTTTTCCTCAAGGAATTGGGTTGGCTTTGCCAAGTTTTCAATACCTCTCGAGACATCCTGAAATGTATGCGCGCGCGTGACTGAGGTTGTGACTGGTGTATCGGTATCTTCACCATCGCCCTCACTGGTGGGCTGCAGAGCCATTCTAAGTAGAGGGGACTGCTGCGTTGGTCTTTTGGGTCTAGCAGGGATGCCCGGTGCACTTCCCGTGCTGACATCGGGGTTGGAGCAGTTTGCTTTGAATGCTAAACCTTGACTGTGCTGTTGTGGCGGTCCTGCGTCATTGTCCCACGTGGGATACAGCCCTGCCTTGTCCGGTGAAGGATTGTGCGATATTGATCTGCGCACTCTGCCACTATCAGTTGCGGCTCTCTTAGGCACTGGCGGGGGAGTGCGAGTCGATGCTGTTTTGTGTGAACTTCTGCTAGAAGTGGGTCGCTCCATTATTATGTGCGCACTCAGCGGCACGAAAACAAGCCGCGCACTTATAAGGCAGTGTATCTCTAATAGAATTCCTGCCAATTATTCGTGGCGTTCATTATCTCAAGTACTTCTCACGTCCGCCATTTGCAGCACCGTGACTCCGGAAGCTTGATCAGGATATCTTAACCCTTATTTTACATACAATTCCTGTAGATGGACGACAAACACCGATTTATGGAAATATTATTCATGTAAATTTGGTGCCATATTCTATTTATTTTCATATGTATGGATGTATTTATTTATCTCTAGCCTGCTTCTATGTATTTGTTTTGTTTTGTTTTGTTTTTTTAAAACAAAAAGCAATAAAGACAAAATACATTTTATATATATATATAAACTTCGGCCCAAGAGACCTATGTATAAGACAGGAGCCTCAGGTCCTCAGGCTTCAGTCCTCAGGACTCAGGAGGGCCTTTAGACTTTAGAAGGCGCAGCATTCTATATATATATTTTTTTGTAACTATTTATAGGACCCAATTAAGAATTTTAATATTGACCAATCATATAACCGGTCAGTGCAGTGTCGATTAAATAAAAGAATTTAAAAACCCTGAGAAGTGATGTCTCACACTGAGGCCGAGACGCGAGAATCGACTCAATCGAGACTAGAGGAGTCGAGACTCGAGACTCGAGAGTCTAATATATAAATGCGATATTTATTAGAGATTTTCAATGTTTTAGAGCCTTCAATAAAATATTTAAAACAAGATTTTCGTTAAAAATTAAAAAGGTATTAAAGGTTGTAAGCCAATGGAATAGCCGAATTGATTCGTCCAACTTTTTGTTTGTTTTGATAAAACTTTTTTCCCTAGTTTGTAAGCATGTATAAAGAGACAAAATTCGTCTCTCGCTGATTTTTTTAAAAACGACCACAAATCACAATTTCAGTGATTTCACATTGTCATTGTTCATATTTTTATTTCAAATTGTTCCAAACTTCTATGACTTTCGTTCTCGCTCCTCGTCGAGAGCTCACTTGTCACTATTTACATACTATGTACTCTCTAGAGAGTACATCTCTTTCTCTATCTAGACTACTATTCTCTATTAGTCAATTAGTGAGACTGTGAGTGTGAGAGGTATACTCCATAGAGAAAACTATAAATGTTCAAAATCTATACGAATAATCATATAATCTGTGACGCAGTGACGCTCGATTGCTCGAGTCTGGAGTCTGGAGTCTGTACTCCGTATGTACTTTGTATCCTGTAGTTTGTTCTGTATTCATTATTCAATGGTTCACCGTTCAAGAGTTCTCAGACTGATAAATCGCTAATTCGCTATCAAGTACACTGTTCCTTGCGGCCCCCGCCCCACGGAATAAAAAAAGAAACAAAAAGCAAAAACACACCCTACAACAAGATATTTAGGCCGGATTTGCCAACTTCAGGAAATATTTGGGAACAAAATATGAAATGAGTAAAATACCTGACTCCAATAACTAATTTCGATATTTCTTCGCACGATCCATAATTTTGACAGTTATTATGAATATTCAGGAAATTATAGAAAGTGACTTTCATATTTTATAAGCCTCGTAATTTTCTGATTTCACGATTTTGAGTGTTTTACCATTCCCAAATTATGCCAGATTCGATCTAAAAAATATACAACAATATTTTGTTTTGTTGTATATTTCACCATAAGTCAAAAGAGGTAGACC